TCCCCACTAGCTAAACCCCATGAGGCAGAGTGAATAGTGGCAAGAGGGGAGACAGGGGCAAACAGAAGACCCCTGCACCAGGCCTGAGACCAAGGTGCCCAAGGTCACACACTTGTGCATGTGTGGTCTGTGGGTTTGAACCCAGGCCCAACACCCTGCAGCATCCAAGCTCTTCTCACCCCATCTTGGGAAGGATGGCCCACCAGGCATGAAAGAGTAAGAAGCCCAGCTCCCTCAGCCACCAAAGATTTATCTAACCCACTTGGCTCTCTGCTCTTGTTCACAGACACAAGGCCTTGAGTGTGCTGTAGCGCACAGCAGGTTAATAGCCCTACTCTTCTGCCCCCGGGCCTGATTCTCCAACCTGTAAAGGGCAGACCCTTGGTGAGACCCCAGCCAGACCCTCCCAAGAAATCTCCCACCCTGGGGCAGCCACCCAGCAGCTCCAGCTATGCCAAGAGAAGCAGGGAAATTTGATGGACAGGGAGGTAGATGTGGGGGTTCCCCGAGGAGAGTCATTTAACTTTACAGGGAGGGAACACAGGAATGGGAGCCCGGGTCCTCCACTCAGCAAGGCCGGCTGCAGGCCTTTAGGCGCCGCCAGGAGCATGTGTAACTCATTACCTCCGCGAGGTTCCCATTTGCAGCCGCGAATGACGCCACGAGCGTGGTGGAGGGGCTGAGGCCGTGGGGCCAGCAGAGCTGCAATATTTTTCTGACACTAACACCTCTCTCTGGCCCTCAGAAAGCGCCTCGGAGGAGTGAGGTCCAGCCAGACACCACCCACTCCCAGGCCTCGGCCTCCTCCGCCTCCTGGCGCCAGACTAGAGGGGCCCACAACTGTACATGGAGAAAACAAATGCTGGAAGGAGGAAAGTGAGAAGGGAGGAGAAAAAGGAGCAGAGAGAGGGGGTGAGGGGAGCAGCCCAGCTGGCCCTGGGGGTTTATTCAGAGGCCTGTGTATGCAACGTGAGCACCCAAGCAGACCTGGCTTGGCTAAAGAACCTTCTAGATCCCATTTGGGGACTGGCCCTTCCCACTGTTCCAGCACCACAGAAGGACCCACCGCTGCTCCCCAGGAGACACAAGGTGAGGACAGGCTCCCCATCTCGGGTCCTTCCCATCAATGGTGGGCTCTGACGAGGATGCAGCGGTTAAGAAGCAAGGCAGCAGGCCAGCCAGGGGGTGCAGGGCAAGGGAGGATCCAAAGGCACCGTGGGGCAGGGACGTGGGAAGGAGCTGGAATGATGTGGGACATGGCATGCTGGAGCCCAGCAAGGAAGCCTTTTATGGAGGGGACAGAGGAACCAAGGCACGTGACAGTCCCTCCCCTTCCTTTCTCACCTGGGAAGTGGGATAAGGGGAGGAATGAAAGAGAGGGAGAGAAAGGAGAGAGGAGGCGAGGGAGGGAGGTTGGGGAGAGAAATGTGTGGGTGGAGAGAATAGCAGGGTCTGGGGAGGAAAGGGAGAAGGAGGGGTTGGGAGGAGAAGGAAAGAAAAAGTAACAAGTAAGGGAAGGACAACCCCTGCCCTTGCACTGCAGAAGCTCCTGGGGGCGAGTCCAGCCTAGCCCAGCCCCTGCTTTTCCCACCCTGGCCTCCGCCTCCCTGTTGTTACTGGGAATGTCCTTCACCTGCAGGAGCTGCTGCTCAAGGCCAGGAAACAGGGACTTCTCAGTACTGGCCTCCCCAAAGCGCAGCCTTTTCTTAGGGGAGAGCTGCCTGCAACCTACCATTACTTGTCCCGTTTCGCTGATGGGTAGACAAGGAGCTGGGTAACCAGGGAAATGTTCATGCCTAGGTGCAGGGACTCATGCTTGCTGGCTGGGTGAATGTCTCCCTGTGAACTCAGTGCCAGGACTCCACCTGGGGAAGTGCTGGTAAGCCCTAGGTACAAGCAACATCCCTGAATTTAGCTTTGCAAAGCCTAAGGCAGAGTCTGCATTTTAATTCCCACTGAGCTCTTGGTTTGCTTTCTAAATTGATTCCCAATCCAGAGGTGAGGGGAGTTCACCCTTAGCCTCATCACCCCAACAATATCGAATTCCTTTCCTAGGAAGGAACCCTGGAAGGAGACCCAGACTCATGTCACAGGAGGGCGGGTGAGAAAGATTCCTGGAGCATGAAGCAGGA